GGTGAATTGCGTGGTAGGGAGATATGTTCAGACTGTAGATCTGAAGTTTAATAGGCAGTGGCCTCCTTATGGTTTGGATTTTTTTCCTAGTCACAGGTTTTGAGCTGCTGTCACAGACGATCACAAAATCTCTTTAAATTCCTTTTCTGAAGACAAGGAAACGCAGTTTGTTGATCCATGAATGCAGAGCATTGGATCTGCAACCTATTATTTGTTGTCTTACCTGTCCAAAATTATAAAGACCGAAGAAATCTGAATAGGACACTGTTTTATAGCTCTTCTGTTCTTGTGTTTTCTCTTTTCCCCACAGTCATCCATAGTTGCCCTCTGTGTCAGTACTTCTCGGACTTTTATAGTACAAGGACTATCTACCCTCATCAAAAACCATCCAGGGACTGTCTTGTACAGCCCTGTCACAGCGGTTTCCATTTACTATGAAGATTTGGTTAAACTGGGAACAGGCACATATCACTTATTTTTCCTCGCTCAGTTTTGCCTGCCTGCTGAATGGGAGTGCGTGTTGAGTGTTTGGCTTCTTGTGCCTTCTTCCTTTTGGGGGTTTGGGTATCCTCTGACTGGCAGTCTGTGTGCAGTCCGTCAGAGGTGCACAGGCCCTGAGTAGAGGAGCACTGCTCAATATCTCTTACAAAAGGGAAGTCCTGAGCATAAAGATCTCCCCCAGTTCTCACTGCCAGAAAACTCTTTTCCCCAGCCAGTTTTTAGTCTGCACCTTCCCCATCTTTATGTCTCATTGCTGCTGTCACTACTGTTGAACTTCATCTGGAATAATCCCCTCCTGGCACCAACACCCTGGTTTGAGTGCTCTTTCACCTCTCTCTTGTTGGTTAACTGTGTTACTCATCCTGTAAAATGAACTTCATCAGTCATGTTTTCCACCTTCGTAATAGTGTTGTTGCTCCATGGGAATGGCACAATGCCCTGACAAAGCTCACCCCACAGCAGGACATGCCAGAGCTGACTGCCCTGACACTGGACAGAGGCTGCTGATTGCTGCTTGTCACCTGGGACCTGTCAGTGCCAACTTCCTTGATGTCTTCAGAGATCCCACTGCAAACACTACCCTTGAATTTGCAGTCAGTGTGATCCCAGCATTCAAAGGTGATGGAGGCATAAAGTGTAGGTAGCAGTGACAGAACAGAAATAACAGTTGAAAAAATGAACGGCATAGATGAGAAATGGGCATGGAAGTGAGAAAAAATACAGAAAGAAAAAAAAGAGGAAAGAGAGAACTCCTGGTGAGATCAGATAATCTTGCAGAGAAGGGAGAACAATTGAAGGAAAATGTGGAAAGCAGACCCCACAAAGTTTGTGCCAAGGCATACAATAAACGTGAGGACAAAGATGGGAGAGGAACAGAGTGACAGAAATATAACTTTTAAATGTACTTAAAATACATTGTTTCTAACAAAAATACTACAGATACTTCTGGTACTTGTCTGAAGTGAGAGTTGAACACTCTCCTGATCGGAACAGTCTTTCCTTGTTGCTGTTAAGTTGGCAGTTCTGGACCTGTTAAGGTCCACCTGGAGTCCTGGCCATGTGTCAAAGGCAGGACTCTCTGACACTACCAGGCACTCAGAACAGAAAGAAATACCACTCTCTAAGTGGGCACAATAGCCATGTACAGTCTCTGAATTCACAGCAGTCCTTTCACTTATGGAGAGGTTTTCTTGCTGATATCTTTGGTTCAGCATAGGCTGCTTGAAGATAGGGTTAGTAATTGTGGTTATCTGTTCATTGTATGCACCTAAAGGGAAGGAGGAAGTACCTGAGTTTTAGTTTCAGATCCAAAGTGGAAAGCATAGAAATTACATTTGTAATAATCTCTTAGGATCTGAGGGCACTTGTTCATAGTCAAGGATGGAAGATGAGTCAGAGTGTTTTCCAAACTTGCTGTTTTAGAAGAAGACTTTTCCAGTCAGTGGCATCCCAGTGCATAGCACAGAGCTGAGTACTGATGGTAGAAGAGCAATAACATCATCTCCTTCCACAGGTTTGTGGGTTGTTATCAGATCTGTGTCCTGACACACATACAGAGTTGCTTCTTCCAGCAGTACACGGTCAGGGCAGCTCCGTGGGAGGTGTGCCATGGCTGTGGCCTCATGCTGTTGGAGTTCTCAGGCTGCTTTCAGTAAAGGGCTTCATCCACACCAGGGTTCTCTAGTGCAAATGAGAATATTGCTTGGTTTTAGACTGGAGGGTTAGGCTGTAGCATCAATACAAAGTGTCAGCAGTATAGCCAGAATCATGTCGCCCATTCTCACCTAGACTGTTATGTTTATTTGTTTGTATATATTTACTGTTGTTCTTTTTGAAAATGGTTTTCCATGGTGTCATGTCACTGCTGGTTCCCAGTGACAGTGACAAGGGTCCAGCACCTGACCACAGCTCAGTAAGATCATGCTGAGCAGCTAATCTCAGCAGTAGGAGAGGGGAGGGTTTAGTGTACCAGTGGGTGTTCCATGCTGGTGTAAAACAGTATTGAATTGACCCTCAGCTGTAGAATTAGGTTATCCTGGACCTCACTGCACAGAAAGTGCATGGAGACTGTTGTCACTCTGATTGATGTCACTCTGATAAGAGGAGCCTGATGATAAGAGAAAGCTTCAGCATGTGTTTGCCACCCTGGGAAGGAGGAGAGGATCATCACTGGCAGCCCTCCGGCTCTTAAATCTACAGCCACCTGCAGAATTTCAGTGTGTGCAATTAAACTCAGAGCAGCAGTTTTCTAGCTGTCTTCTGTACTGAAATCTTGTGTTGAGCAGGGGTTTGTTTGTCCTCAGGTCTGGCTGTGAATTAATGGTCTGTTTTAGAGGCTTCAGTGGGCTAGAATTGCCTTCTTGGTGAAGAAAATGCCAGTGCTGTGCAAAGTCAGTGGGAGCACTTTGAGATGCTAAGAGTCTTTTCTGCTACTTGTTGTTGATCCAGGTGGTCTTCTCTAAGTACAAAGTCAAAGAAAGTACTGTTTGCCCCTTCCTTTGTCTCCCCATGGCAGTGTCATTTAATTGGCAGGAACACTGAATCCTCCCTGTCTCCCATTCCTGTTTGCATGGAAGAGAAATGGAGGGAAGTGAGATGGAACCATATGTCCCTCTGCATCTGCACTCTGAAGACAAAGTTATTTGTGAGCCTTGAGCATGTGGGTGGGAGAACTGCCAAGCCAAAGCTGTTCCCAAGTATCTGTAAACTGAATCTTATTCCTTAAATTCTTCCAACTGAGGAACTTTCGCTCTGGCAAAGGCCTGTAAATATTACAGTACCTGTCACTTTTGGATGCTGCTTTCTGTTTTCACAGCAGCAAAGTGAAAGCTTTGAAGTCTGGGATGTTTTGTTTAGTTTTGTAGAGGTTGACCTCAAAGCATCAATCTTTCTGCTCGTTTTAGACTGTATGAAAATAGCCTTTTCTTTTCTCAGAAAACTTCTTGTAGCAACAGCACTGCTAATGGTCAGAGTTCTCTGATACTCTCGAAGCCTTGAAGCATGTATTGAGATTTGTATACCAAAAATATAAAAAATGCCAAGATACAAATACCAAAACATCTCTGCTATTTTCAGTGATTTAGAGGGTTTTTTTACATATATGTAGCTATAACGAAGTGAAAAGCATTAATCTGAAAAGCGTTTATCAAGTGGTTTCTGAATGCACAGCTCTCTCAGAGTATGTAGGTAATTTTGCTGGTGTTTTAGTTCACATATACATTTCAGTTTCAGCACCATCTGTACAGCATGGCCCACACCTGTTTGGATTCTCTGTGCTTAGTGGGTTAGATGTGGATGGTAATAACAGTCATGTTTTGCTTATTTTCAAGGCAAGTTGCTGGTTGATATAAACCTGTGACTTGAGTTTGCCAGATACAGTTGCATCCATCATTTGTGCTCATCTCCATTTGCTTCTTAGAGGAAGGTGTCATGCTGTTTCTCTTAAAATAAGTCTTAGAAGTGAGTTTGGCAGAGCTGTTCTGCATTTAGTCCTATGCAGCTAACTCAAGTTGTAACTCATTTGTGGCTCCAAAGATAACCTGGCCACAGCTAAAATTCCATGGAGTCAGTACCGTTAATTCTATTCTCACTGAGGAGATAAGCTGGATAGTTGCTCATACTTGGGTGGTGTTCTTGATTTGACTTGGTAATGTGTGCACAGTGACCTGTCCTGGAACTGTGGCTGAAGCTAAGGTTCTCTTCAGGCTGGAAATTGCAACCCAGACCCCTTGAGCAATTTATGCTCAAGTGCTTTGAGTCCTACAGTGGTTTCTCCCTTTCCTTTTGCATTCCTATGGGAATCTAAGTTCTCCTACAAGTGAACAGGAGGTGAATCCTAGAGGAGTTTGATCTGCTAAGTCACTAAGAGGTTTGATTTTGACTCCAGCCTTCCTGCAGCCACATATGAATAAGCACAACACCAGACCTGATCTGTTAAATTTTACCATGGCTCCCACTTTTTACTCTTTCACCAGAGCCCACTGAGCAGTCTTGGCATGATGTCTTGGTGTCTCAGCAGTGCTGTGACTGGCTTTGCCAGAACAAATGAGCACTGTTTTCGTGGTAGAGAGGTCTCAAGGAACCGCAGCATGTCTTACATGACTGGCACCTTGGCTGAAGTAAATCCACACTGGAATCTGCCACTTGAGGAGCCCTACAGTAATGATGGCTTTCTGAGACTGCCTATTTCAGCCACATTTCCTGACCAGTCAGGGTTTTTTTAAAATGCATTAGAAAACTATGCTTGAAGGCATAAAGTTAAGAGCTAAGGTCCCAATTGCTTTTCACCTCACTGGCTAAGTCTTGTGCAGATACATATTCCTAAGCAGGTGATTGGTTTTGCTACCTAACTGTGAAAGTATTGGCTTTATATTTCTAATTAGATTATCTGAAAATTAGGCCTTTTGTCTTCTGAAATGTTTCCAGAAACCCAAATTCAGGCCTGCAGCTGAGAAGCTAAACCTCCCACCTCCATTTGAGTCTTTGTTTTTGTCTTGCAGATGAGAGGATCTGTTCACCACCCTTTATGGAGCTGACAAGTGCCTATGGAGAAGATACCTTGCAGCTTATAGAGAAGAATGGACTGGCATTCCCATTCAGTATGTACATGAGCTTTTCCTTGGTGATTCTAGTAGATTCTAAATATTGCACATGCACTCCCCAAGACATTGCCAACATTGTAAGAGTGTGGGTTTCACTGCCAAAAGTGTCAGGGACGTTAAAACCTTTCTGAAACAAATGCTCTGAAGCAATCTGCTTGGAATGTGGAACAAACCCCCTCCCTGTCAGCTTTTACTTTGCCTTTTATTGATGTTCCTTGCTTTAAACACCTCATTACAATAAACATGCATTCCTGGGAAATGGTAATAGTTCTAACAAACTTAGCCTCTTGCCCTGAACTTGTGCAAGATGTTTCTTTTGCCAGCTGCATTCATTATTTTTTTTCAGAAATTCACTGCCTTGCTGACTGCCCTCTTTTATCACCCACC